GGCCATAGACTACATTACTTGTTTTCCGTTTAAAAGTTTATTTTTGAGACTACCAATAGATTATTCATATGTGTATTCATCCTATTTCGTTTAAGGTGGTAAGTGAAGGAATACCTTTTTGAAAGCAAGACTATCCAAAATTTAATAGGAGCGTAAGATTTACTCACGTCGTAAGAAAATTCAGCTACCAGTCTCCTTTTTACCTTAAACGAAATAGGGTGAATGTAAATATAAAGTATATGTATATTTTTGCACAAGTAAATAGAAGTATGCCTATATTCCTAGGCACTTATTTTTTAATGTTATCAAACCTGATGAATAGTCACTCCAGTATGCCTGGCTTCAAGATTCTTAGCAGTAATGCCATACTCCTCTGAGGTTTATCGGATCATCAAGCATTGAACTTTTATCTCGGAAACTAAGGGCTTACACATTAAGTGGATACAAAGCTTTTAAATCTTTATAAAACTTTTCTGGATAAATCTTATTCGCATTCCATGAATTTCTTCTATTCGTAACTTTTAGGTTTCTTATTTTCCTTTAATCTCTTTTTAATCTTCTGATTTTTATTCTCTTTTAGCATCGTTTCACAACTTGCATCCCAGTTCTTCTTGCTAATTGCCTTGTCCGGCCCAGTCTTCCTCTCCCATCGGAAAATGACCTGCACACCGGGACCTCACAATCGGAAACTAATACTAAAGGTTGCATAGATTTAAATTTCGCTTCACTTTCTTCTTCATCCTTATCCGTTACAAATACCTTTCCCTTAGTTTCCTCTCAGTGTATTTCTTCTAACCCTGACTCATATGACACCATCACGGAAACCAACGCCCCTAGTAAAGATTCTCTTACCTCCAATGATGGATTAATTTGCAATAGCTCTTCTCGGTTCACTTATGGAGACAACAGGCCAGCTAATGACTGTCGAGCACAATGTAGTGTCTGCTTTCGCGTGCCCCCTGACAACAGTGTTTTCATTAGTCTCTCAAGAGTTAGCGAAATGTTGGCTGGCTTACCGCGCCTCGATTACGGCTTTAATATTGGAACTGGATTGGAGCTGGAGACTTCATGCCCTGCTTATCCAATCTTGCAGTATCTGGATGCTTATATTTGCCAGCTGGCCAGCTTTTTGGCCCATCAACCTGTTCTGCTGGGAACATTTATGCTGCTAAAATTGACAGACCCTACGCCTACTATTGGACAGGAGCCTGAAGAGGAAAGAGCAAATTCTTGCGAAGGTGAGAGAACTCAAAGTAAACGGTTTCAACGAATGTCCAGATTACATGCACACTTTACTAACGTTTTTGGTGACGCCGCCAACCTAGTTGCTAGACAATCAGGACGGCAACGAAAAAGGCCTTCCCTAGGACATATGGAAGAGAGAATCTTAGGGAAAAAGGAACAAAAGGAAGAAGATCTAGGATCCTCTCCGGGAACTCTCGACTCAGAGGAATCGGTCGCAACCACATTTGAAGAGGCTCTGGCAGCGGCTGAGTCTCGGCGCGTAATGCTGCAGGAGTTTCTAACTTGGGGCCGCCAGTTCGATACCGCCTGGGCAGCTTTCCTCCGGGACACCCGACTTGCTGGAGACAGTCAAACCCGACCAGGCGAAGGTGGCATCAACCAAGACTCAGATCTCAGATGGCTTGTCCCTTTGCTTGAGGAGGCACACCACGAGTTGCACTTGGACTAACTGTCATTAAACGCCTGATTTGAGCTATAGGCTACCAATTGTTTCCGCTGCATGCATATTTATCAATTTCATACCAACCAACCCATTTACAGGAACTTTGTGTTTCTGTTCTCGATTGGGTCGCATTTACTTACCCAACTCCTTCCTTTAGAAATTTTCTTCTGCGATCCCTAACAGATTCATGCAGACACACTTAGATAATTATCCAACCGTTCATTTTCGGTCACTGAATCACTTGATCGCCAAGTGAGTGATTTGCACATTGATATACATCTTGGCGCCGCAAGGTCTGTTTGGTATTATCCAATGCTATATCTGTCAGTGTATCCCATCTATCTGCATACTCCACTCCCGATGACCCCCAAATACGAACAAGTAGTTATACAAACATTCTTGCATGCATAAATGGAAGCGCATTTCTAGTGCAAAAACAGCTTATATATGTGAAACATACAACAAAGCTAAGAGCCTGCTTCATCCTCCGAAATCGAATCACACGCCTTTTTCACCTCCATTTAAATTTACTATCCCATTATTCCACAAGAAGGCCTATTTTACTTTATAGCTAAGATGTCAATCGTGCCAAAATTATCTTAATGGTTCTGTTGGAGGCAGCTTGCTTCTTGACAGAATCCGAAAGAGCTTGCTAGCTTCGATGGTTCATTTTCCTCCAAATTCTTCTGCCATGTCAAGGGCGATTTTACTGAGTAAAAATATATCGTCTCCTTTATGTAATTTCCCTT